ACATTGGATTAAAGTATTCACGTTGAATTACTAACAGCACATAGTATTACGTTAATTTTTGGGTTAATTTTTGAGTGTCACTTATTGCATTTTGGAATGATACCGTGATGGTACGATAAAATATTGAGTTTTTCACAGATTTTGAAAAGTTAATGTTGTAAATAGGAAAAATGTTGGAAGCCGTTGACAGAGACAACAAGTGTGCAGGTTGGGAACATCCCTTTGGCCCTTTGGCCCATTTTATAAAAGCAAGCCCTTTCATTGGTCCAGAGAACGACCGATTCTCCTTCTCCTTTCCTATGTATAATTGGCGTTCTGGTTTTCTTTTTATCAAATTTCTGAGCTTAAACACCTTAGCTTGCTAGAACAAATGGCTTTGGTTTCAACCCAAAAACTGCCCATGTATTCTACTTCTAGCCGTTCTAAGCTCACCTTCCCCCGAGATGTGGTTGGGAAGATACCTGTGCTTTTTCCACCAGAATTACAAAATACAGGAAGGGCAAAATTGAATATATTTTTCGAAGGCCCGAATGTGGTTGAATTTGTTGTAACCGCATCACTTCAAAAACAAGGGCAAAATGGCGTGAGGGTGGTTCTCTTGGAAAGTGGGTGGAAGCCTCTGGTAAGGGAACTTGGATTGAGGAAAGCTGATACGGTGAGTTTTTTTCTCTTAGATAACATGATCTGGACTTATTCAATTGAAGTGGAAAGGGCTCCAGAGGCCGACCGAGTTGATGTTAATGCCATGGATGAGGATGTAGTACTGGAAGGGGTTCCAGTAAGGATGGATTTCGACTTGAATGAGCCTGCCCAATCCGACATGGGGATCAATCTGAACCAACCGAATCAACCGGCGGTAAGGATGGAGTTCGACTTGAACGAACCTGCAGACCTCAAACATGGAGCTCAATCACAACGATGAAGAGTGAAGGAGGGGAGCTGTTACGTGTGTATAATACACATGCACGAATAAGTGTTCAATTTCTTTTTTTTTTTTTTTTTTTGGTTACTCGTGTGGGTTAGAGTTGTTAAGATGTATTTGATTTCAGCAGTTGGGTGGTGTGAGGCAAGCTCACTTTTTGTCCTATTGTTCCTGTTTGTTTTCTATATTTAAGTTTATAAATAAAAATACCTAATTATAAATCGCGATTAGTTTTTCCTTAATTCAGCCGGGAAGGATAGGTTTCCGAACAAAAAAGAGTTGGTTGACTTTTCAAAGAGGCACGTGATTGAGTTGGGGGTTATATCTCTATCATGCAGAGCTACCATATATGCTGAAACTGAACACAGATGGTTCTCGATTGAGCGGTTCGGAAATAGCTAGTGCAGGAGGTCTAGTGCGTGATTCGGCAGGTAGATGGGTGCACGGCTTTGTAGCAAACATTGGGAAGGCTACTAATTTTATAGCGAAGCTTTGGGGACTTAAAGAAGGATTGCTTCTATGTCTCTCTTTGGACATTCGTAAGTTAGAGGTAGGGCTGGATTCGATGACAGCTCTTCAAGCAGTCCATGCTGAATGTCTACCAAATGGTTTGGCCACTGCTTTAATCCTTGACATCAAGGCTCTTGTGGCCTCTTTTGAATTTTGTCTTCTATCCCATAC